GTCCACAAGTCATCAAAGGGTCCTAGTTCCCTCACGCTGGCTGAGGAATTCTGGGAGTTGAAGTCCACAAGTCATCAAAGGGTCCTAGTTCCCTCACGCTGGCTGAGGAATTCTGGGAGTTGAAGTCCGCAAGCCATAAAAGGGTCCTAGTTCCCTCACGCTGGCTGAGGAATTCTGGGAGTTGAAGTCCACAAGTCATAAAAGGGTCATAGTTCCCTCACGCTGGCTGAGGAATTCTGGGAGTTGAAGTCCGCGAGTCATCAAAGGGTCCTAGTTCCCTCACAGTAGCTGAGGAATTCTGGGAGTTGAAGTGCACAAGCCATAAAAGGGACATATTTCCCTCAAGCTGGCTGAGGAATTCTGGGAGTTGAAGTCCACAAGTCATCAAAGGGTCACAGTTCCCTCACGCCGGCTGAGGAATTCTGGGAGTTGAAGTCCACAAGTCATCCAAGGGCCGAGTTGTTCGCTTGCGGTTACAGGCTGAGAAGGCCTCACCTCCCCCACCATGCTTCTTCTCTCCCAGCTTCCATGATCCACTGGACCCGGCAGATCAAGGACGTGCTGAGGGCCCAGGAGGCGGTGGAGAGCCGGGAAAGCTCGGGGCCCCTGGAGGAGATCGCCTTCTGGAAGAACCGCTGCACCGACCTGTCGGAGATCAGCAAGCAGCTGTGCCAGAAGGGGGTGAAGGACATCGAGGGCGTCCTGACCCTCTCCAAGTCCTCCTACGTGGCCCCCTTCCAGCGCCTCTCCCGGCAGATCCAGGTTCGGGCAGGGGGGCGCAGGGGCCCTCCTGCAGGAGGCTGAGCAGAGGGCATCTCCCTGATGGGGCTTCGGCCTGGCCGGCTTAGAACGCAGAACGTAGAATCCTAGTCTTGGAAGGGAGCATAGTGCTGGAGGGAGGGAGGGAAGGAAGGAAGGAAGGAAGGAAGGAAGGAAAGGATTTATCAGAAATACAGCCGTAAGCTATCCAATCTTTGTTTGAAAAACTCTAGATAGATAGATAGACAGACAGACAGACAGACAGACAGACAGATATTATTGATTGATAGAAAGTAGATGATAGATAGATAGATAGATAGATTAGATATGATAGATTATAATACTAATACTAATACTAATACTAATACTACTACTACTACTACTACTACTACTACTACTACTACTACTACTACTAATAATAATAATAATAATAATAATAATAATAATAATAATAATAATAATAATAATAATAATAAAAAAGTTGGAAGGGACTTTGGAGGTCATCTGGTCCAACCCCCTGGTCAGGCAGGAAACCCTAGATAGATAGATAGATAGATAGATAGATAGATAGATAGAGAGAGAGAGAGAGAGAGAGAGAGAGACAGACAGACAGACAGACAGACAGACAGACAGACAGACAGATAGAGATAATAGAGATAAGAAAGAAAAAGAAAGAAAGAGAAAGAAAGAAAGAAAGAAAGAAAGAAGAAAGAGAGAGAAAGAAGATAGATATAATAGAGATAAATAAATGACAGACAAGTAAGAAAGAAAAGGGAAAAAGAAAGTATAGATAGATAATAGATAATAGAGATAAGAAAAAAAGAAAAAAGATAGATAAATAAGTGATAATAGATAAAGAAATGAGAGAAGGAAAAAAGAAAGAAAGGATAGATAATAGAGATAGAATAGATCATAGAAAAGAGATAGGTAGGTAAGTAGATAGAGATAGAGATAGAAAGATAGAGAGAGATAATAGAGATAAATAAAAGGAAAAAGAAAGAAAGGAAAGAAAGAAAAAACGAAAGAAAGAAGGAGAAAAAAGGAGAAAAAAGGAAAGAGAAAAAGAAGATAGATATAATAAAGAAATGACAGACAAGTAAGAAAGAAAAGAGGGGAAAAGAAAGTATAGATAGATAATAGATAATAGAGATTAAAAAAAGAAAAGATAGATAAATAGGTGATAATAAAGAAATGAGAGAAGGAACAAAGAAAGAAAGGATAGATAGATAGATAGATAGATAGATAGATAGATAGATAGATAGATAGATAGATAGATAGATAGATAGATAGATAGATAGAATCGCATGGCTGGAAGGGGACCTTAGAGGTCCTCTAGTCCAACCCCCCCTCTCTCTCTGCCGCTGCTTTGCAGGACGGGTCGGAGCAGGCCCAGTCCAACCTCCGCTTCCTGTCCATCCTGAAAGAGCCCTTCCAGGAACTGGCCACCCTGCGCCCCAAAGACATCCCCGAGAAGCTGCCCCATCTCATCAGCCTGGTCCGGATCGTGTGGGTCAACTCCCCCTACTACAACAGCCGGGAGAGGATCACGG